ACATAATTTAAGATGCAAGGGTTGTTTAAAATTCCATAATTTTTTTGAAAAAATAATTCCATTATTGCCAGAAAATGAACTAGAAAATATTGAGAATTACAGGGAAAAATTATTACATTAAGACTAAATACATATTCTATCAACTAACAGAGCTATTTTTTAAAAGATAGGACAGAAAATGACTTCTATACTTTTAAAATTTGCCCAAAATTTAGGAGGTCTTTAGACCAAGCCAACTATGGTAGCAATAATAACAGTAATGTCAGTAGTAGTAGTAAAAATAAAAACGACAATAAAAGTAAGATAGAATTAAATATTTGTCATGGATATAATAATTACTTGAATAATATTATTATTATATAATTATATATACTATTAGATAATATTGAAATGAAGATGATATTGATGAAATTTATAATGTTAATAATGAAAGTATCATTGATGATGATGATTATGAAACTTATAATGATGTTGAAGATGACACCATCGATGATAAAAATAATGATGTAAACATAATTGATATTGAAGATGAAGATAATACAAGTAATTTATTTATTTATTTGTTTGTTTATTTATTTATTTATTTATTTATTTATTGCAACAATATTATTACTTTAAGGAAAAAAAATCAACTAATATATTTTATTAGTTAAAAAAACCCCCTCCTAATCATAGTGATATTAACAATAATAAGAATAATAACAATCAAGATTTTCATTCATTTATGTATTTATTATTATAATGTCTGATCAATATCAAATTATATTTTAAAATAATTTTTTTAAGGCAATATCCAGCTTATATTTACTATTTTTTAAAAAATTATTACTTATATTAATTATTTATTTATTATTAAATTTATTAGCAAGTAAAACAAATAAAAATAAAAATAATAATGAAGATGTCATTTAGAATGGAGATGTAAGATGTAGCAATAATAGAAATAATATATTTATTATTTATTTATTTATTTATAGTGCAAACAATATTATTTAAGAAAAAAAACTAATAAACTTTATTAGATAATAATAACATCAATAAAAAAAAATAATAAAGGTATTATTTACTTGTTATTATATAATTTCTGATCAATTGGCTATGTGATGTGAAAATTGTTTATTATTATACTTTTTATTTATTATTAATTTATTAGCAAGTAAATTAAATTGTAAATTTTTATGTATTAAAACAGATATGAATCCAGAACCATGTTGGATTGACCCCATAACCAACAAAATTAATAATAT